AACCATGGAAACAGAAAGTTAAAGCCATACTCTGGAACATTCTCATGGAGATGTTTAATGCATTAATGTGGAATATTGTAAATATTGTAGCCAAAGGAATATTTCCATGGAAACAAGCAGGAGCAGGCCCTCCTCCAGGACAAATAAGAGTTTGGTTTTTAGGTGCAAAATCAAAATTTGAGTCTATTCAAGGCTAAAACATGACTGAGGCTTTAAATTTGTAATAATTTGTAAGAAGCAGTAATGTTATTTATCATTATTGCTTAGTTTTATTCTCCCATAATAATTTGCCCATTAACAGAACAGATAAAGATTCTCCTATTTTATTTAATGCCAGTCAAAACAACGACGTCTCCATGGAGACGAGCAGGAGGCGGAGCTGTCTGTTTCCTCACACACAAAAACAAGATGGCCTCTCAGATTTGCATTTTTAATATTTCACGCTCCACTGGCTCTGGGGTTTCCATCAGGACTCTGTCCCTCACACACACACACACTCACACACACACACACACACACACACACACACACACTCACCCATGCAGACACCAGCTCCACCAGGCCTCTGTCCCTCACACACACACTCACACACACACTCACACACACACTCACCCATGCAGACACCAGCTCCACCAGGCCTCTGTCCCTCACACACACACTCACACACACACACACTCACACTCTCTCACACACACACACACGTACACACGCACACTCACACGCACACTCACACACACGCACGCACACACGCACGCACACTCACACACACACACTCACCCATGCAGACACCAGCTCCACCAGGCCTCTGTCCCTCACACACACACTCACACACACACACACACACACACACTCACAGCTCCACCAGGACTGTAAGGCTATCAAGTGCATGAGTCCTGGTCTAGATCTGAGACCGGGTTTAGTCCTGGTACAGTTCTCGTTTATTCTGGGTTTATTCTGGGTTTAGTCCTGTTTCAGTCGTGTTTCAGTCCTGGTTTAGATCTGGGTTAGTCCTGAGCTATATTGGGTTTAGTCCTAGTTTAGTCTTTGTTTAATCTAGCTTTAGATCAGGGTTAGATCTGGGCTAGTCCTAGTTTAGTCCTGGTTCAGTCTTGGTGATTAGATCTGGTTTAGACTTGGTTTAGTCATAACTCCTAGTACAGTTCTCGTCTAGACCTGGTTTAGTCCTAGTCTAGACCTGATTCAGTCCTAGTCTAGTCCTGGTCTAGTCCTCATTTTTCACTCTTTCTCCGCACATCCACAGGTATCAAATCAGACAGACCCAGTGTGACTCCCGTCTACAAATACGGGACAAATAAGAGACATTTTCTTGTATATTTGGTCAACAGATTCTCATGATTTGAAAGCGTGCGCTGAATGAAAACAAGTCTTGTGTCGGAGTAAAAATGCAGTGAATTTGGTATTTGCGAAATGACCTCTTTGACAAAGGAGTCCTCAGAAGACTCCTCCCACTCCAGCGTCAAAACAAGCAGCAGGCGTCAGGCTCCAGACCGACCACAGAGACCATGGAGAGATGGAAAAATGCACCAACATCTGTGAATGAAAACAAGAGAAATGTGAAAGAAATGCACCGGTTTTAAAGTGGGATTCAGTGGGTTTGACATGAATGTAAATGTAAAAGGAAAAAGAAAAGAAAAAAAAGGAAACAATAGAACATAGTTCAGAAAATAGTGTCATGGAGAATTGTGTGTGAGCATGGCTGATTTAGGCTTGTGGGCGGAGCTTTGGACAGAATCTTTCAGTAAGGAGGGTATGAAAGAGATCACTAAATTACTCAAACATGCCTGGCTGACATCTACAACCTCTTCAGGCAGGTTTTTGATGAACATGGTTAAAAGCTTTAAACATACCTTTTTATTCTGCAGTCTTAGTTTCCTGACATCAGGTGGAACAGATGATGTCACAAGGTGACACAAGATTTTCTTCATGACAAGCTCCTCCGTGTTTTTAAGATCCACACACTGGTCCATCTTCTGTGTGGAATTTTCATGTTCTCCCTGTGTAGTTAGCCTGATTCATCTGATGGTTTCACTTTGTAGAAACCATCTGACCTTGCAGTATTGGGATTCATTCGCTCGACGGTAGACAGGTATTTTTTTATTTAACCAATTTGTTTGTGACGTATGTAATGCGCCGCTAAGAGGGCTAACTGGTTTATTAAGCTTTTCCCAAATCCCACAGGAAGAAGGGCAACAACATCTTTTCCCTTGATAAAACTCAAACATTCTCTTTGTTCTCGTTCCAGCTTTAAATCCTCGATTCCTCTTCGCTGATTGGCTGGTGCCCAGACTCACACTTCCAGGGTTGTTGGAAACCGTCTAGACCAGGGGTGTCAAACTCATTTTGTCCAGGGGCCGTATCCAACCTCCTTTAATCCCAAAGGGGCCGGATCAGAAAACTCATGTCATAAATACCCCAGAAATAACAATAAGTTCTAATATTTGTGCAGAGAAACACAAATCTATTACAGAAATCTTTTTTAATTGATGAACTCTTTCTTTAAAAAAATGCAATTTCAACACAATGTTTTAACATTAACTTGTATGTAAATAGGAATAAGTCAATTTTTCTTGGAAAATTTTGCACTCGGAGTCCACTTTTCTCATGTTGGACATTTTGCTGATGAGGGTGTCACGGTCAACAGTCAAAACGATCGTCCTTTAAGAGCGTTTGGAAAGAGACAAGTCTTCATTTGTGCTGCTCTGGTGGGAGGGGCCACGTACAGAGGCACTGGAGACGCTGCTGTGATAAACACCACAGAAAATTAACAATATTTAAAGAGAAAATATAATTAAAATATTTTAGTAGAAAATCAGCCAAGGGCCAGATTAAAGGTCTTGGAGGGCCGGATCTGGCCCCCGGGCCATATGTTTGACACCCCTGGTCTAGTGTATTCTGATTCCTGACCTAGTTGCTGGAGAGAAATGAAATTGAGTGAAGGCACGAGGTGGCGCCAGCCTGGTTACTGTAGGGTGCCCAGACGTCCCCATTTCCTCTGGACAGTCCCAGTTTTGAGCCTGTGTCCCCTGTCCCAGCAGATTTATCCCAAACCAGTGATGTGTCCCAGTTTTATACAAAAAATGTCCCGGTGTCCATATTTTTGACCAATCTGATCCCTGGCAACAGTAAAGAGTAAAGAGGCCTAAACCATAATTTGTTTCGGTAAAATACTGAAAAGCTGCTCAAAAATGACCAAAACCCAAAGAAAATGTGACTATACTGACTCAACAATTTTCCTTAATTACGCACTTTTTACACAATGTTGTTATTACTAGGGGTGTAATGATATCCAAGTCTCACGATAAAATATTGTCATGGTATGAACCTCACGGTACGATATTTATTGCGATATCGTGGGAAAGCTCATGATATGGTGGGTAGGGGTGTGTAAAAATATTGAAATATCGATATACCGTATCATTTAAAGTGATGATACAGTATCAATATATCTCCAAGATTATTTTTTGGTATGTTTTACTACTATTTTCTTACAGCGCTACAGTTTTGTTGCTTGTTTAGTGGAAGGAAACTCACTTATCCAACATATTTAACTTTTTCACTGTTTTGATGAGTAAAATGTTTAAGTTTTGCACATGACGTGTTTTAACAAAGACTTTTAGTATCACAGCCACGAGACTTTATTTTTATTGAACTGTATCGAATCAATTTCCAATATATCGTATCAAATTGAAAGTGCACAGTATCAAGATATGTATTGTATTGTGGCTTATGTATCGAGGTATGTATCGCATTGACAACTTCTTAATGATACCCAGCCCTAATGGTAGAGAGGTTCACGATTAGGGATGTAACAATATCCAAATCTCTTTGTATCATATTTTCAAGACATACATCTCACTGTATGATATTTATTGCGATATTTTGTGGAGGTTAACAAAACTGTTTATATGATACTTTTTCCTCTTAAAATGCCTTGACAAGACTTAATCCAAAGAACTAAGACTTAAAAGTGTTAGAACTGTTATTTCTTCTTGTAGTCTGTACTGAAATGGAGCAAAGGATCATGGTCTATGTAGTTCCCTCTGTCTTTTTTCACGATTGCTGCACCATAACTCTTCATTTAAGAAAAGAGACTTGTAATTCGATATATTGTGATGGTCCATGATATTATTGTGAGAACTATGACAATACAATATCACAATATTTCAGTTATTGTTACATCCCTAGTTATTACCAACCACCACAAACCAAGAGTGTCCCAGTTTTTGATTTTGAAAATCTGGTCACGCTATCCCCGTGTCAAGCTGCTCTGGTGTTCCCATCAACTCAAAACATGCACAACGAATATTTTTTTACAGATAGAATTGATACTTACTGCATCAACATTCCCTGGAAGTGTGATGCCAGCTGTAGGCACTGCTCTGTCTGAAGCAGTTCCTCAAGTTTAGATCTTTGTTTTACACAGTCTGACCAAAAATAACTGATTTAGCTGGAACTTCAACAGATGAGCTGGTTTGTGCTGTTAAACAAGTATTAGTTGTTACTTCCTGTATTTTTTTTTTTTTTTACCTTTTATACCACAAACCAAACCAAGACATTTAACAAAGTCGAACTGATTTAAAACTATGATTAAATATTCAAAACAACTACCTCAGAATTGGAAAAGCATGTCATATGCATTGTGTAACTTCTAAGGTGGAGGGTCTGCTACTTTTTTGTCTCCATGGAGATGCAGTTTCTTTGCCTGGAATGTTCCACAGTAGAGCATTAAACCTATCTCCCTTGAATTTGTTCAGTTGTAGATGTTTTATAGCTGAAAAATCCCTTAAAAACAACACACTTTTACCATGTGCAGGCTTGCTTCTCCATAGATCTGACCATTTACTGACCATCTGACCTTTGGAATAATCTCCATGGAGACAAGTAGGTGGCGGACCTTCAACAGAAAAGTGAAATAAATAAAAAACATCACTTTGTTCATTACAGACTGAACAAAGAAAACAGAAAAAACAATCCAGTCCCAATCTTAAAACTCGTCTTTATTTTCTTCAGAATTACAAAAACATTGAAGCTATTTACAATTACACTGATTGGTATCATTACTGTGGGCGTTACGGGAGGGCATCAGTAGTAATCCTCCGGGTCCGCCTTCTCTCCCTGATTCTGGATCTGCTGCTGCTTCCTGTACAAATCTGCAATCTGCGAAATGAGAGAGGGAGGAGGAAAGAAAAGTTAGAGAGATTAGGAGAGAAAACAAGGAGTGTGAAAGGGAGAGAGAAAGATGTTGGGAGAGAAGAAGAAAGGAGCGACAGACAGAACGAGAGAGGAGAGAGATGACGGGAAAAAGAGGAGAGAGCGAGGGAGAGAAGTGATCAGGTGAGTAACAATCAGAGTAAAGAGAAACGTGTGTCGAGATTGACCCAAACCCGACATTATCATCTGTGTAACTCCACGTTTGTGACACGAGAAAGAACAGATCAGCGCTGAAAGAGTTGAACGCAGAGGGCTGTGAGGGGGCGGGGCTTCAGGTTTTATTTTAGCTTTAAGATTACACATTTCTTCATGTTTTTCTGCTGTTCACGGTTCACATCTAAATATAAAACTATGTATTTCAAAGCCAGAAGAAAGAGACTAAACTCAAGTGTTTTTGATAACACTTTAGAGTTTAGAGACCACATATTAAGTTAGTTACTAGTAAAATGCATAATAAGTGCTTAATTACATCTTTGGTTTTTGTATTTCTAAAGTACTTTCAATGCTTATTTGTCTAAGACTGTATATTTTGCAAGAATTATGCAACTATTTTTGTTCCCATTGAAGTAGTGGGGAATACAATAGATGTTTCTGTACATTAAAATCTTAATAAGCATTAATAAATGTTTGATAAATACCAACTAATAGTTAAGTAACAGCTAATTAGTATAAGTAACAGCTAATTAGTACACCTTCACTAGAATCATTTGGATAATTTCAGATCTGGAATTGTCAATCTCTAAATGGAGCTCTTCATTTGAAAACTTCCACTTCATGACATCACAAGTTGGAACAGAGCATTTTGAGCTTTGGAGATGTAGACCATTGTTTCCCAAAGACTGGGTCACGACCTTCAGGTGGGTCGCGAGAGATTTATTTGGGGTCACCTTGTCACGATCTGTATGTAGGTCTGTAATATACACTTCTGACACATGAGAGCGAGTGACTGTTTTGTTCTAATATTGCTTTTTCAGTGTGGTCTGATTCATCAGCTGGTTTCACTTTGTGGAAACCGTCTGACCTCGCAACATTAGGATTTGTTCGCTCGACGGTAGGTGGGTACTTTTTATTTTACCAATCGCTGTTATTTGGTCGTGATATATGTAATGCGCCGTTAACAGGGCTAACTGGTATATTAAGCAATAACGACTTTCCCCTTCATAAAATTCATCAAACATTCTCTTTGTTCCAGTTTTAAATCCTTGATCTCGGGAATCGCTGCAAACACAGAATGTATGGCTCTTTACTGTACGGACTCACACTTTCCAGGGTTCTTGCAAACCATCTAGTGTATTCTGATTCCTGACCTAGTCGCTGGAGAGAAATTAAATTGAGCGGAGGCACTAGGTGGTGCCAGCCTGGCTAGGTTCAGTTGAATGTTGAAAAGAAATAGATCTACATTTAATGTCCAAATAGGTGACTTATGGATCCTTTTATTGCAGCTTCAATGACTGTTTTTTATTGTTTAAAACTTGAGTAATATCAATTGTTCAGAGAGACACGATCACTCAGTAAACAATAAAATATCCTCATTAACGTTCAGTTATGCTCAAATCCACCTTTATTGTTTAGTGTATGAATACCGTCTATTGACTTGGGTCGCAACAGTTTGTGACTTTTAAAGTATGGGTCCCAAGAAAAAAGTAAAATACACTGTAAAAATACTGACGTAGACAGATTAATAATAAAGAGATACTCAAGCATGTGTGAATGAAACAACTCCCAGTCTGTTTTTGAGAAGGAAACGACATTATATCCTGGCCTAAAGCTCACAAGAATCCATTTTATGTGATATAGGACCTTTAAGTATTTATCCACGCTTTATTAAGACAGATAATCCAAAATTCCTCTTTGAAAATGCATTCTGTTCCACTTCACTATGGCCTCCAGACTGGATTTCATAAAGGATTTTGTTTGGAAACTTTTAAAGGGCCTATAGAAGCCAGGTTTGAATATTCTCCACATGTGGTCACTGGCAGCAGCAGCAGTGAAGTGAATATCCTTCCAGCAGGGGGCCTCGCAGAGCGCCACATTAAAGTCCACTCGAATCAGCCCACTGAGCCCGGCTCTGAGTCCCAGTCCAAGTCCGGGCAGCAAATATTGATTCGGACTTGAGCTGGATTTCAATGATCCACTGCAGAGCCAATACTGCTGCTGTTTAACCAGCAGGGGGCGCATTAACATAGAGCGCAACACAGCTAATGACTCCGAGCAAATGTACTCAAAGACCCCGACCAGGACTGGACCAGGACTAATCCAGGTCTGGACTAAGACTAAACAAAGTCTGAGCAAGAACTAAACCAGGTCTGAACCAGGACTAAACCAGGACTAAACCAGGACTAAACCAGGTCTGAACTAGGACTAAACCAGGCCTGGACTAGGACTAAACCAGGTCTGGAGAAGGACTAAACCAGGTCTGGACCAAGTCTAAACCAGGCCTGGGCTAAGTCTAAAACAGGTCTGGACCAGGACTAAACCAGGTCTGGACTAGGCCTAAATCAGGTTTAAACTAAGACTAAACCAGGTCTGGACCAGGACTAAACCAGGTCTGAACGAGGCCTGAACTAGAAGAAAACCAAGTCTGGACTCTGATTAAACCAGGCCTGGGCTAGAACTAAACTAGGTCTGAACTAGGACTAAACCAGGCCTGGACTAGGACTAGACCAGGTCTGGACTAGGACTAAACCAGGTCTGGAGAAGGACTAAACCAGGTCTGGACCAAGTCTAAACCAGGCCTGGGCTAAGTCTAAAACAGGTCTGGACCAGGACTAAACCAGGTCTGAACGAGGCCTGAACTAGAAGAAAACCAAGTCTGGACTCTGATTAAACCAGGCCTGGGCTAGAACTAAACTAGGTCTGAACTAGGACTAAACCAGGTCTAAACTAGAACTAAACAAGGTCTGAACGAGGACTAAACCAGTTCTAAACTACGACTAAACCAGATCTGAACGAGGACTAAACCATGTTTAAACCAAGTCTGAAATAGGATTAAACCAAGTCTAAACTAGGACTATATCTATTTATCTTGACAAAAACTGAACCTTAAATAAACCAGAAACCAAAACTTAAACAGAAATTTTAAAAAAGGGCCAAACTAAACCAGGACTAAGCCAGGACTAAACCTCTGTTCTGGGGCAAGACAATACAAATACTGCCCCTTTAATCATTTCATGAATCTTAAAGACTTGTGTTCACAACCAGAATGGAGAAGCTCCATCTCCATTACACCATTTCCCTTACACCATTCTAATTACAAGTTTGTTTTTCTTTTTAAATCAGAACGATCCCACTAACGTGATTCTCTCTTGTGCAGTATCAGAATGAACTAAGCACAAGATTACCTTAAATCCTCTGTGGCTGCTTCAGGGGAATATTTAAGTCTCACATATTTGGTAACGCTCTAATTGTGTTACGCTGTTTTTCTCGTGGAAAGTTTCTGTTTAAATAAGAAAGAATTATAATATTGTCCAGAGATTTATGAAGTGGTGCATTCCCCACAGAGCCAATAAAAAAGTCAAAGTTATTCTCTGGGACAAAGAACAAAACTGTAAATGTGTTAAAAGTGCACTGTGTAACTTTTCTCTAGGAGGCTCCGTCAGACGCTTTTCTCCCAGAAGATGTTATTGCTTTGCCTGCAATGTTTCACAGTATGGGATTAAACTTTTCTATCTTTATGGAGATCAAACCAGACCAAGTTACAGGTCAGATTAGGGGTGGACGATATCTCGATATTTTAAATATATCGAGATATTTTTTAAACTCAATATGGATTCTGACATATCGTGTATATCGATATAATGCTTATATTCAATTCTGATTTCGCCCCCTGATTTTGCTGCTTGTGTCTCATTCACTCCTCACTGTCGCTGTGAATGCTGAAAGTTGGTGCCAGTGAAAAGCTTTTAGCACCATGAAAACTTTACACCATTTACAGACAAAACCATCAGCAGCACATCCTCATATTCCACCTCGTCGTGTCCTTTAGTCCGAAAGAAGTTGAAAAGCATTAGCAGCAGAAGGAGAGTGCTGTTTATGCAAATTTGGGTAACACTTTATAATCACTACACCTTATTTAGTCTTAATAAAGCATGAACAAAGACTTAATTAATAATGATTCACTCTTAGTAACTACTTAATTACTACCTGAATTAGCACTTAACTTGCACTTAATTCGCCTGTGCTGTAAATAGTTACTCAATACTTCTTAATTACTCTTGAACTAACCATTTGCATGTTTACAAATGCATATTTAAGTTCACATTTGAGCATTTATTAATGATTAGTAAGCTATGAGAGAATGATTTACTAATAATGCAATGCAATGATAATTCAGGCAGCTGTTATCTGTTAGTTAAGTCTTTCTGAGAGCTTTTCTAAAGTGAAGACTAATTATGTTTATTAAGCATTTGTTAAGGTTGGTCAAATTCCAGAGAAACAATAATGCATTAGTAGTAAATCATTCTCTCATGGCTTACTAATCATTAATAAATGCTCAAATTTGTACTTAAATATACATTTACAAATGCACACACAAATGGTTAGTTCATGAGTAATTAAGTAAGAAATACTTATGAGTAACTATTAACACAAGCAAATTAAGTGCAAGTTAAGTGCTAATTCAGGCAGTAATTAAGTCGTTACTAAGCGTGAATCATTATTAATTAAGTCTTTGTTCATGCTTTATTAAGGCTAAATAAGGTGTAGTTATTATAAAGTGTTACCGTAATCTCAAACGGGCTGATGTGGCTCTAGAGTTGTTATGCTTTATATGTTGTAAAGTTTAGTAATGTAAAGTTTATTTATGCAGAAGATTTTAATCAATAATCTGCTGCAGTATAACTTGTAAAATAGTGTTTGGAAATGTTGGGTTTGATCTGCAGTGGATTGTGGGAAACCTCACAGCTCCTTATGCTGGTGAGGAATATGGGTCTGTTAAAATAATGAACCTCCCGAGCTTCCTCTGCTAATGGAGCTCATATTTATGTAATAAGGGATTTTTTGTATTCTTAAATGTGGCAGAAGCACTTTGTTCCTACATGAACTGCCTGCCTCTTGCACTTCACTAAATAAAGACCTTTGTTTGGGGGTTATTTTTTCCTGTACAGATATCGCGATATAGCAAAATATATATATATTTTTTGCTCCATATCGCCCAGCCCTAGATCAGATCTGTGGAGAGGCGACCCCACTCACAGTTCGAATGTCTGTTTTTTTGAGGTATTTTTGAGTGATAAAACCACCTGTAATTAAATAAATGTAAAGTTGAGTTGTTTAATGTCATACTGTGAAACATTTCAGACAGATCAATGATAAATCTGGTGGAGGGTTGGTCACCTGCTTCTTTCTATGGATAAGTTACACAATGCAGCTGTAAGAAATAATAAAAATAAAATAAATAAATAAAAACAAATTGCCAAATGACACTTCTCTGTAACGTCAGACCCGGAGAAACCAAAACAAAGACTCCAACTCCTCCTCGGGGTTTAATTATTCTGAGACGATTCTGATCTAAACTGTGTAATTATTGCTGCTAAAACCTCTTGTTGGTCGCGTCTGAAAACATGATAAGAGCCCCGGTGTGAGTGAAGCACAGCGCCCCCCAGGTTCAGGGGGGATTAAAGGGGAGCGTGTCCGTGTTTGTTGTGGTGGTTTTGTAGATCCGTCTGAAATGGAGAAACAGCCCCCAGCTCTGATTCAAAATACTGTTTACTTTTATCCGAGCGTGGAGGGAAGACGCCATAGTCTGTGTGAAGGAGACGACTAAGGGAGTGTGACGTCATCTATTCGTGATGTTCAGCTCCAGTCAAATGAAGCTCATCGAGGCCGGCAGTTATAGGAGCAAATTTGGAGTACTTTCATATTTGGAATTCAGCAACCAAAGAGCCAATCAGGAGCTAGGCTATTCAATGTAAGATTTACATACAGTTCCTTTAAAAATCCTTTATTACACAAAATGGACTTTTGTTAGCTTTAAAGGGACAGTCGGAACAGTCGGAAGTTTGGACATAGGACCTAATTTCCTAGTGAGCCAGAGTGTTGGAGACGTGTGGAGACACGTTTTAAAATATTCCATCCAGTCCTTGTATTTGCAGAGGTTGCTGGTGCTGCTAGTGCATGTCAATGTCAATGTCTTATCCTCTTCACAAAACACCCGAAACAAATCTATTATTACACCAGACTGTCCATGTGAATGTCTGTGTTGACAGAATCATGTTTGAAATAAAACTAACCTTGCATCACATGAATTGTCGCATGTTAAGGGACTATTTTCTCATATATCAGTCCGCCGCTGCCGAGCTTTCTATCAGGAAGTACAACTCACTGCCACTGCTCAGACATAAATCCTTAAAATCCAAGGTTGATTTTACTTCTAAACTTATTTTATCAACACAGACATTTACATGACAGTCTGGTGTAATAATAGATTTTCTTCAGGTGTTTTGTGGAGTGGGTAAGACTATTTTTAGTGGCAGGATAAGTATGGCCATTGACATGCACTAGCTTTGCACCAGCGACCTCTGCAAATACAAGGACTGGATGGAATATTTCAAAAAGTGTCTCCACACGTCTCCAACACTCTGGCTCACAAGGAAATGAGGTCCCATGTCCAAAATTTGAAACTCTTTAAGTCATGTTATAATGTTTCCTCCTCAAAAACAAACCTAGGGTTGTGCTTGTATCATTCACACGTTTGATTAACACTTTATTATTAGTCTGTCTACATCTCCAAAGCTCATAATGCTCTGTTCCACCTTGTGATGTCATTAAGCGGTAGTTTTCTTTTACCGTAAGCTCAGTAGAGTTTGGCAATTCCAGAGCTGAAATGATAAATTATTATTAAAAACACAGTAGAAAACCTCCTGTATTACAACATGACTTCACAATGTGGTGTGATTTTCAATTTGAGAGAAAAACTAAGCCTCAATGTGCAGGTCTGTTTGTTATAATTTAGTAATAATTTTGTTATAAATTAGTAGTTTCCTCATCACATAGATCAGAAAATAGCATAATATGGGCCCTTTAACTTGACAGATTCCACACATATCGATCAAACATATAATTTTTGTATTCCGCAGTCCCTCCTCTTCCTTTTCCTCCTTAGTTTTCCTTTCATAATTCCTCACTTGTGTTTTGCTGAGTGAAGGACTGTTCCTCAAGTGTCCCCATTGAAAACACAGTGTGCCCTTTCATTGTTCTTATTTAAGTTTTATTGCAAAGCTCTGACCATGAACACAACCGCTATTAAAGTTTTACATGGATTTTACACAAGGCCAAATGAAAGACTAGAATAATAGAGCAGAGGTAGTCCCATTTTATATAATTTATTCAAAGGTGCGTTGTGTAACTTTTCTGGTTCGTCAAAAGCTTTTCTCCATGGAGATGTCACTGCTTTGTCTGGAATGTTTCACAGTCTGGCAAAATTATTATTATTAGGTATTTTTGAGCTATAAAACCAACGGTAATTGAATAAATGTAAGGTAGAGCTGTTTAATGTCATACTATGGAACATTCTAGATCAGGGGTCGGCAACCTGCGGCTCTTTAGCACTCCCCTAGTGGCTCCCTGGAGCTTTTTCAAAAATGAGTGAAAATGGAAAAGGAATGATTTTTTGTTGTTGTTTTAATATGGTTTGTTTAGGGGTAAAATCCTCGTTCATCTCTGGTCATGGATCTGATCCATCAGCTGTGTGTGTAAATGCAAACACATAAAAATGTTTCAGCAGAACAAACAGATGAGCTGAAGCGGGGGGTGGTGTCCGGTGCCTCCACCTGAGAAGCGCTTTCCCCCAATGGGCCAATATGGCTCTTTGAACCTTTTGGGTTGCCGACCCCTGTTCTAGACAGAGCAATGACATCCATAGAAACAAGAAGGTGATGGATCCTCAAACCAAAAAGTTACATAGTGCACCTTTTAAAATACAGAGATGTGGTCACCAAAATTAAATATGATTCTCTTCATTCAAGCAACAACTCATTACAGATTCAAACTAAGGCAAGGGAAGTGACGTGTCTTGCCGAAGAGCACTACAAGACTTGAAAAAATAGGGATTTTTCTGGCAAGCATGAAAAAAAACTACTCTATTTCAATAATAGGATTCTGTTCAAAGTTCACATTTTTAAAGTCCATTATCACACAATGATATCTTGTTCCCTCCTCAAAAACAGATCTAAAGTTGTGTTTTGTTTCATTCACACATGTTTGAGTAACTCTTTATTATTAGTCTGTCTACATCTCCAAAGTTCATAATGCTCTGTTCAACCTCGTGATGTCATGTAGTGGTAGTTTTCAAGTGAACAGCTCCTTTAGCCTTTAGTATAAAAGAGATTGGCAATTCAAAGGCTGAAATTAGAGTTGGGCGATATAGGGAAATAAAAGAATGACAATTAAATGAGGTCTTAAGTTTCACTCATAAATGGTGAGAAAAAAGTCATTTACTTCCAGTAACTTGGATTATAAAGATGAGAAACACCATAGGAGAGAAAGAGGAGAAAAGGTGAGGAGCTGTGGCTGGATCAGAGCGAGAGAGGGAGAGCGGGGCAGTGGTCAGACGGCACTGCACACACAAGGAGGCAGAGGGAGAGAAACACGGGACTTTTAGTCAAATTGTGCAGATTTAAGTCAAAACTTGTGAACATGTGAGGAAACATAAAGAGATGCACTGTGGCTCAGGCTACTGTTTCCTAAACAAGTGGGCGTAAATCCTCGTCATCTCCACGCACTCTTACTGCCACATGATTGGCTGTAGACCGGTCGATTAAATTGCGTTCACTTTATCATCAACATCAACTGAAGTAGAGATCGCAATCTATCAATCTTTTGATTTTAGATGCAGCCCTAGCTGAAGTTATCCAAATGATTCTACTGAATATGTACGGAATTTTAAAAAACAGTGAAGTACTTCCTCTATTACTACATGACATCATAAGGTGGAACAGTGTGTTTTCTATTTGAAAGAAGAACTCAGTCTAAATCTGCAGGGTTGGTGTGTTAAACATGTGTGAATGAAACAAAATAACCCCAGGTCTGTTTGGTGACAAAAAGTGCCAAACTAATACAAGGCTCCCATTTCAGAACATGTTTGTACAAATCTAAACTACAGGGTTAGCAGTTTTTATGCAGAATAAGACAGGAGCTTTTGTTGTTTGTGGAAGAAATTATAGTACTACAAAAGCTGGAGCCTTTGTGATTTGCTAATTGCCTTAGCCAGAGCAAAATCACTTTTTACCCTTATTTAAGATTTCAATACTTTTTCCCCATTTTAATTTTGAATAAGCTCTTTGTGCATCACAAACGATAGATTCAGATTTTGCTTAAATTCAAATCAGACACAGTGCTGCTGCGTCGCTCTTGCCCAGACCCTGCTGTATATATTGCTGTTATAGTTCCGTGTCTCCATGGTTACCTGAGACCCGGTGGTAGCGTCCTCGGGTTTCTTGTCGTCTCTGATTCGAAGGAAACGAGGAAATCTTAAAGAAATTCCCTTTTCTGGATCCACCTGAAGAACACAACAAAACTACTGTTAGTAACCCCACGAAACACTGTTAGTCTACACCAGGACTCCTCAAACCTCTGCTGCACTCAAACTGTAGTATTCAACTAATTATCAATATCAGTGTTATCACAACTTTTGGACAGGTGTGTTGTAATATTCAGTTCCGCTCTAAAACTAAACATTATTTTAAGAATCAATTAAAGCTGCATTAAGTCATTTTTCAGATTAGCGTGGAGCACCTGCTTAAATCTTCCACAGAACTGAAATTAAACTGAGCTACCTTCATGGAGACAGGAGGTTGACGCCGCTAGTTACAGATGTAATTAACTATATGAATGTACAAATACTTCTACTCATACTGGGAGACTATCACAGCATAGCAACAACATCTCCATAGAGACAAGCAGGTGACGAATATGAAAAAGTTACATAAATTACCTTTAATCAGTTTGTATTTTTAGAGTCATTTTTAAGATCACAAATGCTCTGCAAGTTTGTAGATTTTTACTTTTAGATTTAAAGGTGTATTGTGTAACATTTTGGTTGAGGGTCCGTCACCTGCTTGTTTCTATGGAGATGTCATTGCTCTGCCTGGAATGTTCCACAGTATGACATTAAACAGCTCTCTCTACCTTACAGTTCATTTACAGGTGGTTTAAAAAATCCGTGTGTCATTCGTTCATCAATATAAAACCAAAAAGAGGAAAACGAAAAAAAACACAACAATTTTCTTCGTTATTTGTCTCCAAAATCAAAATGAAAAAACAGATAATGATTTGTTTTTTCAGTTTTCCATTTTGTTTTTAATTGAATAATGGATAAAACGGATAACGGACGTTTTCCGTTTCCGCGACTTAAACTTAGATGCCGGACTTTTGCGCCGCGTATGGACTTAACCAGGACCAGATCTTGACCAGATCGGGACTGAGACTGGGACCAGATCATGACTGAAAACGGTTTAGTCCTGCTTTAATCCTGATTCAGTCCTGGGTCAGTCTGGTGTTGCAGTTTTAGTCATGTAAATGGGAAATGGTCGTTATCCGTTTTTCCATTTTTCATTTAAACACAAAATCGAAAACTGAAAAAATTAATCGTTATCCATTTTTTCATTTTGGTTTGGGAGACAAATAAATAAAAATAAATGAAAAATAATGAAGAAAGTTGTTTTTTTTGTTTTCTTATTTTTGGTTTTATTTTGAAAAACGAATGAAGGAATGATACATAGATTTTTATACCCTAGAAACACGGGATCGCCTCTCCACAGATCTGACCTGTAACTTGGCCTGGTTTGGTCTCCATGAAGATAGAAAACTTTAATGCCGTACTGTGAAACATTCCAGACAAAGCAATAACATGTCCATGGAGAAAAGCATTTGACGGACCCTCCACCAGAAATGTTACACAATGCACCATTAAAGCGGATGAAGTTTGATTGATATACAAAAGTAATAATGCAATTTAAAGTTTTTCTATATATTATATGACTTATTTCTGAATTAACTGACAATTAGTTGTATTATTTGAACCCTAGTCCAAACTATACCATAACATATATATAGTACACTCCCAATCCCAGACCAATATGAGCCTTTTTCTAATTACCAATATTGTTAACCACTCTCTTATGACTCCATTAAAATCTGTATTGCACTAAGCACATTTCTTATTATGGGCGCCTACACCTCTTCTTTAATTTCAGTCCCATTTTCCAGCTCCTCTCCCTCCACGGGGACAGCAGTGGTGATTTAACTAGCTTACCTCTCCTTTAACAACAGACGCTTTATGTTTGCGCTGGGATAAACTCCAAATCGCTACAGCAAATTAACGGCGATCCCTCCATTACACCCGGAGTCTTTTACAGCATTTTTAATAACTCAATTAAGACCAGATAATTGTGACTTTTCAGGACTGCCAGTGGAGCGGAACATGGAGGAGCTATCAGAGGAAAACACAGGGAGTACACGGGACAGCTGGGATTGGCTGATGACACTAAGAAGGAGGGTTCAATCATTTGGACAGTTGCGATTGGCTAATAAAACTAATCGTCTACGGACAGCTGGGATTGGCTGACGGAACTAAAAGGGCGGGTTTAATGGTGTACGGACAGCTGTGACTGGCTGATGAAACTAAAAGGGTAAATTTAATCATCTATGGACAACTGAGATTGGACTTTTTTGAAGCATCTGCCACCTGCTTGTCTCCATGGAGATGTAATCCACAGATGAAAATTCCACAGTATGCCATTAAATCACAGGTGACGTAACAAGGCTTTATTACGGGTCAGATCTATGGAAAGGCGACTATGCTTACAGAAAGAAAGAAGGATTTTAAGAGTATTTTTTGTTTTTTGCTAAATAAACTCCAGTAATAGATACAAGATTGTTTAATGTTTAATGTCATACTATGGAACAGGAGGGCATCTGGCATACAGGAGGATGATACGACTTCTGACACAGGAATACAAGAGGATGGGAGGGCATCTGGCACAGGAATACAAGAGGATGGGAGGGCATCTGACACACAGGGATACTGGAGGATGGGAGGGCATCAGACACAAGGAACTCACCAGTCCGAGTCCAGCCTTGTAAACTGGAGAGAGCGAGAGGTCGGCACATTTGACCTCCCAGACCTGCACCGCGTCCAGCCACACGTCAGGCTCCGCCGACGGGTCAAACCTGAAGTACGCTCGGGGCTTTGGCAAGATGTGCTCCTGCAAAACACACCAAGAGACGGGATGTTCTCAAATACTTGCGACAAAATTTAGTTTGTACATTTATATGCTAATCTGATTCATGTTAATTTAGTAATAATTCATAACTTATAACTAAAAATAAAAACTATGACTAAAACCAAATAAATGGATTCATAAAAAATATTTGTATTTATCCATAAAAACAAGGAATCAAACTACAGAACAAGTGCAAAACACAGCCAGTTAAGATAAAAAAAAAAAAAACATGATCTATATAATCCTGGTTTATCCTTAAATTAATTCCTATTTCTAACATGAAACTCGTCTCCACTTTGGCTCTTATAACTACAAGCCTCTGTGAGCTTCATTTGACTGGAGCTGAACGCTGTGGGTGACGTCACATTCCCTTTAGTCCACTTCTGGATACAGAAGACTATGGTCTGCTCTGAGCCACATGTTTTTACTGACAGGCCTGGCTGATGACTGACCATTAAACAGGAATCAATGAATCTGGAGCTTGATTAAAATTGGATAAAGCCTAATCAATCTGAAATCGTTTGTCTTGGGGCGAGCACTGAGTCACGGGAAATAACACTAAGAACAGCACAGACCTCTGCAGAATTAATGAGTTATTTTGAGGTGAGAAGTTTGATTTTTGTTGATTGTTTCCCAACTGGGGGTATGGGGACCTGGAGGTACTAAAAATATTTCAGATTCAAAAGAAAGGTGGTACTGAATTATATTTGAATGTATAATGTAGGGATGGGCATGATTAGTCGATTAATCAATAATTGATCATTAAAAATTTCATCGATTACGTTCATTTTAATCGACAAACGGAATGTAGGTTGCTGTGCGTAGTGTAAGGTGACCAAACGTCCATGTCCGGGGACAAACGGGGGTCTGTACATGTGTCTCTCTGCACTCAGAAGGAGCGAGCAGACACAAACAGTCGGTCAGCCTGCAACGTGCCGAAGCACAAATGCATATTTAACAATGATTGTACAAGGAATTCCACGCTTTCCTTTCTGGTCGGGACAAGTGTGAGGCCATGTGCACAGTGTACAAAGCAGCACATATGTTTCGATGTCCAGTGGGAAAAAGTTTTGCCAGGTGAGAGTTGCGCAATGTTGATGACGAGTCCCCACCTCCCTCCCCCCGTACGGTGTCCTGGTTTTGACAAACGCAAATATGGTCACACTAACCTGTATTCCACTGAGTCATTAATTCGACAAAAGCTGAACCGCATCAGCGCACAAGAGCTGATTTATTTATTTTTTCTTCACTTAGTTTCTGCAAATGAGCGATGCGGTTTTAAGTTTCGTTTCTGTGAGAGTTGCGCAAAACTGAATTAAACACATTATAATAAACGGGCTGATGTGGCTCTAGAGTGGTTACGGTTTATATGTCGTAAAGTTGAATTTATTTATGCAGATTAGTAGTGCAGATAGTAATAATAATGATGATCATTTTAATATAAAAACGTTAATGATTAATCGATCGTTAATTCTCCCGACGATCGATTAAAAACATTTAATTGAATGCCCATCCCTAGAATAATGGTTTTTATACCACAGTCAGTGAGAATTCCAAAGGCTAACTGTGTGTGTTAAAGTAGTTTCGGCAACAGCCACATCCCACATCTCGCACCTACTCATGAGCACAGGCAACATTTTGAGAACTTTGTCTTCTATAGTTAATTGCTTTTTTCATCTCTCTTTCCTGAAACTCATAGATATTCCATCACACAATAACCGTCTCACAATATTGTAGCGTAAGCAGACAGTGACAGAGCCTCTGCTGTCTGTGTGGACTTGGCCTCAGCCTCGCGCTTCCCCAGAGACCCGCAGCTCTGAACCCAAAGTCAAACCATGCTAACGCGCCCGCGGCTAACACGCCAGCTACACATTGTGATGAAAGGTGATCCGGTGACTCTGTGATGGTTGCCCCCGTCGCTCCTGTCGCCCCTGTCTCCTCTGCTCCAGATTAAACCAAACGCGGGACTGAAGCGGGCCAAAGCCGACACCGAGTTGTGCAGTTTGTAGCGTGTGGAGAGCAGTGGGTTTGAAAGGCCAAACGGAGGACATCATCACTCAAACACAGGATAATAGCCAAAAAAGAAGTCCTATTAAAGGGCCAAACTGTGAGTCAGGAACATGTTTCAGTTTGAACTTTTAGCCCCGCCCACTTAGTCCTTTCTGCTGCTGTGACATGTCCTCAAAGTTTTATAATCTCTGCTACTATTTGCTTTTTTGTAAATATTCCTCCTCCCACTCTCTCCATGCTGTTCTCTCCTCTTCTCTTCCTTCTTCACCTTGTTTTCTTTCTACTCCTCTTCTTCCCTGTACTCTCCCTTTCTACTCCTCTTTGCCCTTTCCCCTCTCCTCTTTGCCCCCATCTCATTTCTTTCTCTCCTCCTCTACCCCCCTACTCCTCTCTCTCCATTCTTCTATCCTCTTCATCTCTCTCCTTCTCTCCTCTCCTTGTCACCCCATCTCACCTCCTCTAACCACCCTCTCTTCACCTCATCCCTCCCTGTCCTCCCCCTCCACTTCCTCCCTCTCCTCACTACCACCTGTCTTCATTCCTCCCTCTCTCTCCTCCTCCTCTCTCCTCTGCTTCTCCATTCAATCTTCTCTTCATCCCCCTCCCTCCCTCCCTCTCTCTCTCTTGTACTATGGCCACCCTGCTCGCCACCCTGCACCCCCTAACTCTCCTCTCCCCCGTCCTCGACATCCTTCTCTTTCCTCCTCCTCTACCCCCTCCGATATTCTTCATCCTCTCTCCCCCTCTTCTTTATCCCTCTCTCCTCTTCTCGTCATCCCCATCTCTCCTCCTCTACCCCTTCTCTCTCCCGCTCATCCCTCCTCTTCCCTCTCTCCCTCCTTCTCCTTCAGCAAACCTCTCTCTCGTCTTCGGGCCGCCCTGCTCTCTCCCTTCCTCTCCTCCTCCTCCTCCGCCCTCCTCTCCTTTCCCTTCCCTCTCTCTCTCTCGTCTTCGGGCTGCCCTGCTCTCTCCCTTCCTCTCCTTCTCCTCCTCCACCCTCCTCTCCTTTCCCCTCCTTCCCTCTCTCTCTTGTATTTGGGCCGCCCTGCTTGCTCCCCTTAACTCTCCATCCATCACCCTCACACTGCTTCATTACAGAGCACCACACACACTTTCTATTAGTCCAGTGAACAAAACATTACTATGGCCTCTCAATCAGCCTCTCTGGATTCTGCCTCCCGCAGCATTTCCACACCAAACTTTTAACCTTCTGCTTAAAGAGATCGCCGCCGCCGTCTCTAAAATGGAGGCTGCAGCAGGTACACGGCGCACAAAGGAAAAGCAATTTACGGCGTACAGTGGGAAATTGTAAGTTTGGAAAAAGTGGACAGGAGCAATAATGTAAGATTAGTGTGGAGGTTGGCTACCGTGACCCCGATCTACAGTTAATTCACAGTTGTAAAGGCAGGCGCTGGGGAAAAGAGATGGAGTGTGTTGCTCAAGGACACAACAATAAGCATCAAACTACAAAGCTACTAGTGAGATACTCTCTCTTCTAATTGATCAACATTCATTTGTTGGTCTTTTTTGTAAGGTAGTACAATGAGGTATAATTATCCTAGAGGAATCATAATGTTAACCTATAGATACTTTGCACTGACGTCACGCTGGGGGTGTTCTACATGTACCTCTATTGGCAGAATGTTCAGCGTTACCATGACGACACAATGCACACATGCAATGCAAACAGTTTTAAGATAGTGTGAGTACTCAAGAAAAAAAATAAAATGGGTTTAAACAGCACATTTTCAGGAGCCTGTGATCAGTGCGAGCGGCCAGATTGTGTTGAAGATCAGATTAAAGTGTCTTGAGTAACAGCGCTTCTAACAGAGCAGTGCCTACAGTTAGCATCACACCCCCAGGGAATGTTGGTGACAGCTGCAAAGTATCAATAGTGATCAACATCCAGTTACAGCAGTTCTGACTGTAATATTCAACTCATACAAGAAGAACTGCACTTTAATTACAATTTATATTTCTAATTTTGTTATCATACTAATGAGAATGAGGTACAAATTCATGTCTGAAAACCAGACTGTGCATAAATGGACATAGGTAACCAGCTAGACATCGCGTTCCAAATAGGAAGTGAGCATGGGCGTGATACAGCTACATCGACTCTGGTCCCAGTTCACTTTTTATTGAAAAACCACCACCCTCTCTCTATAACTGCTGCAGTGAGCCTCGTCACTTTGGTCTTAAAATGTTCATATTAACCCTTTCAGACCTAAGGGCAATTTTAATACATTTGTCCTCGCCTGGATTTTTAATTAATTTCGCTATTAAAACTCCCCCTTTAGCCCTAATGAAGTGTTATGCATCTTTTTTTCCAGTACAATCTGTTATTTCACAACCTGCATGCACTAGTCGTCACTACATTCACCTTCTGCATTTCCATGGTGTATGTTACATTTGGATTTGTACATTTTGAGTGAAATAAATCTTTCAAATAAGAACAGCAAGGGATGCCCAATTACAGAGCCCAAGATGCTTAATTAGCTATTTATTTGAGAAATAACTGCACTTAGAGTGGCTTTTTCACCCATTACAAACACAGAGCATTCGACGCTCTGACCATCTTGACTCACTACACTCTTTGGCACAATTTGGGGCAAATTCAAAACGGATGGAGGGCATGCATTTGGTGGAAAACAAAGTTCCTATTGGACACACGTTTTCCCTGCGCCATCACGCAGTGTGCGTGTGACAGAGGATAATGCTGGAAATATGCTCAGAAAGCCGCAACTCTCAGTTTTTCAAGGAAAAATAAAATGTTTCTCTTTTATGGTTGGAAAGTTATGAACGGATAAATAAAACATGTAGGTATCATATACAATACTGTTGGGCTGGAAGAGTTACTTCTTCTCATGATCCTGGGTTTTTTATTTTCATTATTTTGTCCGTAAATCAAGATATGAACATTAATATCAGACAGGTCACTCCCACAACAGTGAGCAACAGGTTTGACTGACAGTGTTGTCAAGCACCCGCCCCCTGCTAAAGGTGTAAATACCGCTTCAACAAACTCAATCTGGATTGGCTCTTATTCACGATATTCGCGGTCAGATTTCCAAATATGAACTTTCACCTCTATAACTGCTAGCCTCAAGAAACTTCATTTGACTGGAGCTGAACACTATGGGTGTCATCACACGGACTCCCTTATTCCACTTCTTTATACAGGCTATGGATAAAACCAATATTTAAAAAAAAAATCCACCAAAACCTTAAATTATAACGTACGAAACATTGTGCAGACATGATAATAATAACTGAATTACCACACCCCAGATTTTAAACACTGGCATTTTCAAATCTCTTCAAACTCGCTTTCATGAACCTCGTCTCTACTTCTCCAAACAAAATGTACTCCTCATCGCAAACAAGCCCCCAAAACACTGCAACAACGAAATGCCAAAAAAACAATGTTAATTATACCGAATACACGCCTTCATTCTGTCAATCAAACCTCAAATTGAAAACGGTTTGAGGAAAAAAGTCCCCCGCTCACTACCTCTGCTATCATTTTCAGAGCGCGTTGTCAATTTGTTGAACATTGGAACAGACCTCTTCAGAAGTAAATTGAAAAAGCTATTCATTATCCCCCAACGGTGCTGACGCCTCCTACACCGGTTTTCCAAATGCGCATTGTTAAGATAGGAAACACAAGTAGAGACGCATTTCCTATGCTTAAAACAGTCAATATGTCTGTTCAGAAGGGCTGATTTAGTTGACTTGTTGAGGAATTATTCAAAGGTGTGTTGATTACAGACACTTGGACGCTACTGGAATCAGCGGTGGAAGGTAACAAAGTATAAAAGTAAAAGTACTAATTTTATTTTTTATTATTTTATTAGGTCCTATATTACTCTTGTGAGCTTTAAGATGTTAAAATGTTGTTGCCTCATCATAAACATAACTGGAATTGTTTTGTTTCATTTATAAATGCTTGAGTAATCCTTTAATATTTGCCTCCTTTAATATTATCTCCAAACCTCAAAATGCTCTGTTCCACCTAATGATGTCATGAAGCGGTGGTTTTCATATTAACAGCTCTTTTTAGTTTTAGTTCAGTAGAGATTTGCAATTCCAGGGCTGAAATTATCCAAATGATTCTAGTGAAGGTATTTGGAGTTTAAAAACACAGAGGAGCACATCTTGTATTAAGCATGACATCACAAGGTGGAACAGAGTGTTTTCTGTTTGAGAGAAGAACTCCTAAAGCCTAAATATGCAGGATTTGTATGTTAAATATGTGTGAATGAAACAAAACAACTTGTTATGAGGAAACTACATTAGAACATAGATCAGAAAACAGCGCAACATGGGCCCTTTAAGTACATTTTAAATGGTAAATGGTCACATTTTTCTATAGCGCTTTTCCACCTTCAAGGCACTCAAAGCACTTTACAACAAGGAACCACTCACTCATTCACTCACACATTCACACACACATTCATTCACCAGTGTATGCAGACACTGGGGGTGAGGTGGGTTTAGTGTCATGCCCAAGGACACAACGACAGCATTCATCTGTGGGAGCTAGAATGGCACCAGCCAACATGTGGATCAGTGGATCTGACCGCTCAACCAATGATGTTTTTTATGTGAAGGGCGGGATTCGAACCGCCAACCTTCAGATCAGTGGACGAACGCTCTACCAACTGTCTGTACTTTCTACTCCACTACATCTTTGACGTGAACTGAAAAGTCAAAAGTGCTTTTCTTTACAGTGTGAAACCTGCTGAAATGGCTAAGATTTATTTATTTATTTTCACATTTAATTTTACATTTTTGCATTTCAGTAAACCAAATACACAAATACAGCTACAAAAATGTATAAATCAATTGCATCACTTAAAATCATCTAAATTATTTTTCAAAATCGCTACATTTCATCCTCAAATTGTTGTAAAATCTAAATACATACTTATTTTTTACTTTTTAAAATACATTTTTCATTGGGTACTTTAATACTTTTACTTCTAGATTTTCTCACGTGAAACATGTCATTTTTTGCCTCTGTATCTGTACTTTTACTTAAAGGTGCATTGTGTAACTTTTCTGGTGGAGGGTCCGTCAAATGCTTTTCTTCATGGAGATGTTATTGCTTTGTCTGGAATGTTTCACGGTCTGGTTTGGTTTGGTTTCCATGATGATAGAAAAGTCTAATGCCATACTAAGTTACAGGTCAGATCTGTGGAAAAGTGACCCCGCTCACAGTTAGAATGTCTGTTTTTCTAGGTATTTTTGAGCTATAAAACCACCTGTAATTGAATAAATGTGAACTATAGCTGTTAATGTCATACTGTGGAACATTCCAGGAAGAGCAATGACATGTCATAGAAACAAGCCAAACAAAAAGTTACATAGTGCACCTTTAAGTACCAATATTGAGTACTCCATCCACCACAGATAGGAATACACCAGTTGCTCTTTTTTTTAAGTTGCTTTAGTCATTTCCGATAAAGACAAATAGTGGAAAACCCCAGGAGGAGACATGTCCAAAGTAATGGCGGTATTTAAAATTGCACAGGGCACATTTGGGAGGTGGCCGTCTCATTTCAAAGTTGGACATTTCATTTATGTCAAACAAAACGAAATGAAAACGAGAATTAAATGAAAGATGGATGATTGTGAGAGTGGAAATGGCCCCATGAGAGAGAGACCGCGGCTCTATTCAGCTCCAAAAATGAGACCATTTATTTTGGAAATTAGAATGTGTTTGATATGTGCGCAAAAGGGGGAATGTGGAGTTACAATTCACACTTTTAAATGACAGTTTATGGAGGAAAAATAAAATATAACATTGAAAAAACATAAATATAAAAAGAACATATTGATAGTTAATGGACAAATAATTTGTGTTTTGAATAATTGATTCTTTACAAGTGATGTCAGTAACATTCTCTGGGGGTGTGATGTTAACTAGAGACACTGCTCTGTCTGAGGTTTGTCAGACTTTAATTTGTGCTTTGTTTTAACACAATCTGTCCATAAAGAACTGACTTCAACTGACAACAACTAAAGCAGAGGAGCTGATTTGTGCTGTTAAACAAGTCACTCCCACCTTTTTGTGGCTATTTTCTGATCTATGTTCTGATGTTGTTTCCTAGAGATGTAACAATAATCGAAATATCGAAGTTCTCAGAATAATATCGTGGACCATCCCAATATATCGATTTACAAGTCACTTTGCTTAAATGAAGAGTTATGGTGCAGTAATAGCTAAAAAAAAGACAGAGGGAACTACATAGACCATGATCCTTTGCTCCATTTCAGTGCAGACTACAAGAAGAAATAACAGTTCTAACACTTTTAAGTCTTAGTTCTTTGGATTAAGTCTTGTCAAGGCATTTTAAGAGGAAAAAGTAGCATAATAGTATCCACAAAATATTGCAATAAATATCGTACTGTGAGATGTATAATGTGAAAATATCGTACAGACAGATTTGGATATTGTTACAGCCCTAACTGTGCCCCTCCCCACCATATTGTGAGCTTTACCACGATATTGCAAAAAATATTGTACTGGCGGGTTCATACCGTGTCAATATCGTATCGTGAGACTTGGATATTGTTACACTCCTATTGTTTCCTCACCAAAAACAGACCGAAGGTTGTGTTTCATACACATGTTTAACACACACACCCTGCAGATTTAGGCTGAGTTATTCTCTCAAAAAGACAAAAACACTCTTTTCCACCTTGTGATATCACTGTGTCTTTAAACTTCATACACCTTCACTAGAATCGCCTGGATAATTTCAGCCCTGGAATTATCAATGTCTACTAAAAATGGTAAAAATGGAAAAAAACAAACAAACAAATTATCTGTTTTTGATGAGATAACAACATCAGAACCTGGCTTAAAGTGCAAAAGAGTCAGTTGTGCTAATATACGACCACAGATAGGAGAAACTGATGCCTTATATGGGCCTATTAAACTCTCTCTTTACCTTCAGAAACTTGTAGTGCTGCTCCAGGTCTTCGTCTTTGAACCCCGTCCCGATCTGAAAAAGACAGAGGAGATAAACAGCTCTTTAGATCAAAACTGTACATAACATTTACTGCAGAGGGAGAGAGGGAGAGGTGCGGAGAGAGAAAGAGAAAGTGAGAAAAAGAGGCAAAGAGAGATATAAATAAAGATACAGAGTGAGAACTTCACTGCAGTCTAGTTTAATGTCACCTCTGCTCTACTCGACATAGATGTAAAACTACAAGATACGAAGAGACTGACACTAAACTCAAAATAACATGTAAAAGTGGATTTGAAAACAGCACTAGAGTCTACAGAGCGTACAGAGTGTACAGAGCAAGGGAAGGAGAAGAGAGGTGAGAAAAGACAGTTTAAAGGCAGATACAAGATAAGAAACAGGAATGTCACCATGTCAAATATTAGAGAGGACCAACTGATACTCTGCAACAACATTCCCTGGGGGTGTGATGCTAACTTAAGGCACTACTCTGTCAGATGTTCTGTTACTCAAGTTAGCTGATTTGTGCATTGAGGCTATGTTTATATGATAATGGTCTGAACAGAAGACGCAAAAGTGGCATCACGTCTTTACTTTTTATTACGCTTTTAAGTAAGTGTTATCAGGAGTAAATCTGCATGCATACAGTCACGCAAAAGTGTGTGGAATTGGATTGAGTATGCATGCCAGGCGGCTAGGTGATGATATGTGTGACGTAAACATGTACACGATGTGAGCAGATCTATCTTGAGCAGTGTAGATGGAAACACTACGGCGAAGTGTATTCAACTCTTCCAATCTGGAGGGTGGTTTCAGATTTTTGCGTTTTTAAGCCTCAAAAACGCCGTCACCTTCTAAACGAAAGGTACTTCCGATAAAATATTTTGTCGTTCTTATCCGCAAGCGTTCTCGTGTAAACAGTAGTGATGGTGAGATGAAGCCCCATGAAGCACTGAAGCGTTCTGTCCATTTGCTCGACGCTTGAGCCGATGCTTCAAGGTGCTTCATTTGCTCCACTGCGCCATCAAGTGGCCAAAAAAATGTATAACAGGCAGAGTGAAAATAGAACAATCAACATGATCGTCGTGGTTCTGATGGAAAGATTTATATTTAACAAATGTATGATTAACTATTTGAATGTTTGTGATACCAACATAAATTGTGAATTTATTAACATGGAGTCTGGATTCATGATATAATGGTCGGGTTAAAAGAAAAAGTAGACACTTCACCTGAACTTATAGAAATATATTAGACTACGGGAAACACTGTGTTATCAAATTTGTGTATTTAGTAATATTGTTTATTTAATGACGTCATTATTACTATATACCTTATTAGGAGATATCAGCTCAAAATGTTCCTAAAAGGGGAAAATATTCTTTTCTTGCTGGCTCCATCACAAAAAAAAAAAAGAATCTCAAATAGAATGTACCAAACTCACAATACCCCAAAACCACAAAATGTGAGGGGGAATCTGTTGCGTTTCTTTGGCCCTTATGTTTCGAATCGCGCGCCAAATCTGCAAACCACTTCCTGAACCGGTCACGTGGTACGGGCGGCTCGCGAGGCTTCGAAAGTCACCACATACGTCACCGATACAAGCCTCGATACACACTTCACCAAAGCCTTCCTGGATTACTCGGCCCACGCTTCAAAGCCTCGACAGGAGGGCACATCACTAGTAAACAGGCCCTTAGACAAGTCTCTCACAATGATAACTCGCTTGTGACAACAGCTTTTCAGTTTGTCTCCATTAACTCTTGTTGCTCCTGATAATTTGTTGTTAAATCCATTTTGCATTTTAAGTAATCCTGGTTTATTATTCTGTCTACATCTCAAAAGTTCAAAATGCTCAGTTCCACTTTGTGATGTTATGATGTGGCAGTTTTAACAGCTACCTATTACCTTTAGGAAACATTATAACAGATCAGAAAATAGCATAATATGGGCCTAAGGCATATTTAAAAGGTGTATTATGTAACTTTTCTGTTTTTGTTTCTAAGGATATGTCGTTGCTCTTCTTGAATGTTCCACAGTATGGCATTAAACAGCTCAACCTTACATTTATTCAATTGCAGATGGTTTTATAGCTCAGACACATACATTCTGACCTGTAACTTGGTCCTGTTTGGTCTCCATGAAGATAGAAAGGTCTAATGCCATACTGTGAAACATTCCAGACAAAGATATAACATCTCCACCAGAAAAGATACACAATGCACCTAAACCTTAACACTTTTCATTCCAAATGTATGTTACAATCTTGAGGAGGAGGAGATGCTTTCTGTTCTGCTCTCGTCTACTTTGTTTCTCAGACTTAACTCTATTCCCTTTCCAATATCAAGTTAAAGATTTTCAATAAGAATCGCCGGGAGCAACACGGTGCACTTCCAGCCTGGCATTCTGGGAAGTCTGTTTGTAACACACCGCACTGGATCAATGATGAAAATGTGAGGGGATCGAAACCTAGATTTATGCTAACGCTGCTGTAGTCGACTGTGAGGATAATTTGTAAGAAAAACTAGAAAATCTGGAGTAATTATAATATGAGAACCAACTCTCTATGCAACAACCAAGGCTGTTCCATTTTATTGTATTATATGACCGAGCCTGGAACAGTTTCTCCAGATAGGGCTGCCAAAAAAATCGAAAATCAAATACTGAAAACTAGAATCTAAACTGGATACTCATTTATGCAGGTGTAGATATTACCAGCATGTTAACTGCTCTACTTCCTGGTTCTTGGAGGATAAAAATGCTTTGTAATCAGACACACGCAGTACACAGTGATCTCATTTTGTTCATTTTCTCCATGGAGATGTTATTGCTTTGTCTGGAATATTTCACAGTAAACCTTTCTATCTTCATGGAGACCAAAACCAAGCAAGTTACAGGCCAGATCAGTGGAGAGGCGACCCCGCGCACAGTCGGAATGTCTGTTTTTCTAAGTATTTTTGAGCTATAAAACCACCTGTATTTGAATAAATGTAAAGCAGAACTGTTTAATGTCATACTGTGGAACATTTAACATCTTCACAAAGAAAAGCATTTGATGGACTTTACAGCAGAAAAGTTACACAATGCACCTTTAACTGTTGTCTTTACTACATGTTGTAATTCCATATATCTTGTTTCATATATTTGATGTCTTCCATGTGGATAAAATGTAGAAAGTACTATTGTACTTTAGTACTATCATACTATGGAACATTCCAAGCAGAGCAATGACATATCCATAGAAACAAGCAGTTGACGGACCCTCCAGAAAAGTTACACAATGCACCTTTAAAGGGCCCATATTACACCATTCTCTGATCTATGTTCTAATGTAGTTTCCTTATCACAAACAGACCTGGAGTTGTGTTTTGTTTCATTTACATGTTTAACACACAAACCCTGTAGATTTAGGATGAGTTCTTCTCTCAAACAGAAAACATTCAGGTGCTGTATTGCTCCACTGTGTTTTTAAACAGATTTCAGCACTTGAATTGTCAATCTCTATTGAAGTAAAGGTTAAAGGAGTTGTTAACTTGACTACTAGTAACTACTGCTTCATGACATCACAATGTGAAAGAGCACATTTTGAATAATGAAGGATTACTCAAACATGTGTGAACTCCAGGTCTGTTTTTGAAAAGGTAACCGAATTATAACATATCTTAAAGCTCACAAGAGTTAGTTTTGTGTAATATAGGATCTTTAAAACAGACTGACCGGTCTCATGGTGGACCCAGCAGCAGACGGACAAACAGGACCAGACGTGGTTCAAGGACACAGTGAGGTTTGAGTTTCAGAGGGAGAATCACAGCAACGTGTCAAGGACGAGAGCAGGTCTCACAGATTTGGGGCATTATTTCACTTTGTAAACTCCAGTCCTCATTTAACTTTACTTTTACTTCTGTGCATCCACTGGGGAGAAGAACTGCACGATTTTGAAAAGTCTAAATCTGCTTTTTCTGACAGGTATTTTGCAAAGAAGAACCATTATGCAAAACAGACTTTTCAGAGCTTTTAACCATGTTGTTTTCTGAGTTTATTTACCTTCTGAAGTTGTATTTAGTGATTCGTGCATGTTTGAGTAATCTTTATACATTGTTATGTAAGCACTTCGAGCTCCCATTTTATTTTTGCACAAACACGATTTGAAGATTTAAACAAATCCTGCATATTTAGGCAAAGAGAAAACACTTGTGATGTCATGTGATAATACAGGAAGTGCTCCACTGTGTTTTTAAACTCCATACACCTTCACTAGAGTCATTTTGATGAACTGTAAATCTCTGGAACAAAAGGTAAATTTTAGCCAGGCTGGGTCACCTAGTGCCTCCACTCATTTTCATTTCTCTCCAGCGACTAGGACAGGAATCGAAATACACTAGATGTTTCGCAAAAAACCCGGAAGTGCGAGTTCAGGCACCAGCCAATCAGCGAAGAGCCATACATTCAGTGTGGGCAACGATTCCCGAGATCGAGGATTTAAAGTCAGAATAAAGAGAATGTTTGGTGAATTTTATCAAGGGGAAAGACGTCATTGCCCTTCTTCCTTTGGGATTTGGGAAAACCTTAATATACCAGTTAGCCCTGTTAGTGGTGCATTACATACGTGACAACAAAATAGCAGTGATTGTTTTTTTAAAGATTGTATTTGACATACAATATTTTAAACTATTTATACTCATTACTATCTGTATTGCTGTTGACCTGGACCTGAGTGAAGTATTTTGTTTCTGTGAATTGTTTTTTATACTGACAAATAAATTGATTCTGAAGCTAGGTAAAGGTAGCCATTAACTTGAAAACTACCACTACATGACATCACAAGGAGGAACAGAGCATTTTGAGCTTTGGAGATGCAGACAGACTAATAATAAAAGGTTACTCAAACATGTGTGAATGAAACAACACAACACCAGGTCTGTTTTTGATGAGGGAACAACATTCTAACATGTCTTAAAGCTCACAGGAGTCAATTTAATGTAATATAGGACCTTCAAGTGCAATAAATTGTTCAGTCATACTGGTGCTGGATAGGT